AGAGAGAGAGAGAGAGAGAGAGAGAGAGAGAGAGAGAGAGAGAGAGAGAGAGAGAGATTCCTCTCCCAGTGGTGCCAGCAGCCCCAGTTAACTCACCTACATGAAGAAAGAGAACAGGAGAAGAGAAAGAAAGGAGGAGAGAGAGAGGAGGGGAGGACTGCGACATGAGAGGGAGGCAGACGGGAGGGGAAAGTTTGCAGGTGTGACAGAGACAGAGAAGTAGGAGGGAGGGGAGGCGTCAGGCTATCTGGGTGAGAACGGAGGAAAAGGAGGAGGAGGACTGGAGAAGAGACAGAAGAGATGAGCAGGCAAGGGCATAGCAGCAAAACAGAAGGCTGGGGGTAGAGGCAAAGCAAGGAGCGAGTGGGAGAGGGAAAGAAAAGAGTGAGTGGGAGACACAGAGAGAGAGAGAAAAGGGAGAGAGAGAGGAAGAACGAAGGGGGAGAAAAAAAGAAAGCAAGCAAAGCAAGGGAGAGTGACAGGGACAGAGCCAGCAAAGGAGGAGGAGGAGGTGGGGAGGGGATTGGCAGGGCAGACAGAGCGAGCGGGGGCAGAGAGAGGGAGATTTTGAATCTGTGAGACAGACAAGAGAGACTGAGCTGGTGAGGTGACACAGGCTCGGAGAGGGAGAGAGAGAAAGCAAGGCAGCGTGAGAAGAGGAAAGGAGAGAGAGAGGAGAGAGGAGTGACGACAGTTTGAGTTGTTGCACAGAATACGATGATGGGACTGTACTATCCTAACGTGTTGTCGGTGAGTGTTTATCTCGATATCTTTTCATTTCCTCCTGCTGTGTACACGTCGGCAGTGTCTGTATCTGCCAACGCTAGGGCTCCACTGTACATGAAACGGCATGAGAGCGGACGGCACTGTCATCCAGCATTAAATGTTAATTAACTACTAACAGATGAGGACTCTACTTGACCCGTTTGCTAAGAGTTGGTCCAGTCAGGACATTTCAGACTCTTGTTAGAACTCGGCAGGCGGTTCGCTGTGAAGGATATAAACACTGAAACTAGTGTAGTAGGATGACAGCGAGATACAGGCTGGAGATTGCATCGCTACAATTATGATTCGCTGCGGTGAAATGCACGAGTGGCGATGTATTATTGTACGCCGTTGTTGTGGCATCTGTTCTCCTGCCCAGAGCTAGAAGTGCACGCAATCTGAACATCAAGAGCTGCCACTGCCAGAAACTGTGCTCTGCCATGTATTATGTATGCTCAGAAGAATCTATGTGAACATATAGTACAGCCCGTTAATCCGTGCAGCTGGATATGTAGCAGTTTGCTTCTGCGATCAACTCTATAGGCATTTCTGAAGGGAAAAAGAGTGGAAACAGAGAAGGAATAGGGGGGGAGGAGAGGTAAGTGAAAAACTCTTTCTTCTTTATTGTCCCTGCAGCTGTCTTTGTATATCACTCAAGCCTGTGAGCGAAAGGGACAGGTGTCCACAGAACAGTTGTCTCTGTCTTTTTTTTTTATTACTCACTCTCTCTCTTTCTCTTCGTCCCTTCTCCCTTCTGCATCTCTTTCTATTCAGCTAACAACACCTCCTCACTGTAATTTCTGTGTCACACATTTCACAAACACACAGAAGCTCAAGCACACAGTGGGCTGCAAAGTTGGTGCATAAAGTGTCATGTTCATATCATTACATTTCAATTGGTGTGAGTCAGGATGAGAGAGAGAGAGAGAGAGAGAGTGTGTGTGTGTGTATGTGTCTTCCTGTCTTTGCTTGCATGTGTGTGCTTCTCTTTCAGCTGTACCTTGGATTCCTGCTCTTTTTACTGTTTGACCTCTTTTCTCCCTCCTCTTGCTCTCCCTGGGGCCCTGGCAGCTGTTATCTCAATGTTTTCCTTTAAGAGCCCCTGGAAGAAAGAGGGGGGATGGGATAGAAAAAGAGAGAGAGAATGGGATCATGAGAATAGGAAATTGATTTTTAAGGTGACGGGACACCCTCGGCCAGTTACCAAGGAAGCCCGCAGGTGAGGAAGCTCGCGTTATGCGGAGAGGGACAGATGAGTTGAAATAGGTGGAGAGCCACGCGGAAATGTGACAATATTGTAGGTCAGCTGGAGAGGGCTGGTTTGCTCAGTGACGCAATTTCAGAACGTAGAGCTGACTTTGCAGTTACATGTGTGCATGTGTTCAGACTTGCCTCGCGATGGGGGTAATTTATTAGCTCTTCAATAGCGCTACTTGATCATTTTGACCTGTGCCGTGTTGCACAGTTGGAGCAGCAGATCGGGTGCAAAAGCACAGAAATATTTTCTCAAGCCCCACCTAGGAGTGTGCCCTAAGGCAAGGGAGAGACGCCTACCTGCTGCAAAAAAAAGCTGTGCACACACTGCCACGCTTGCATAAACTGTAAAAGGGTCATGAGGATTCAACCCCCCCCCCCACCACCTCCCAAATCTTGTTATTGATTCTTTGCAGGGTTAACAATGATGGTCGTTAAATGATCCCAATGAGCCGTGTTGCCGTGGCAACTTGCATGAGTCATTTTGTGCTG